GAGTTTTTAACAGACAGTTTCAAGTCCGCGTGTGTTCTACCCTGTCTGATCATTATAATCAGGATCAGGGGGTCCCACAAGGCAGTTTTGTCTGTCACATTATTCAGAATTAAGATTAACAGTTTATCAACAGTTTTAAATGATTCAATTGATGGATCAATTTTTGTGGATTATGCATTCCTGTCGTGGTAAAAACATGCATACGATTGAAAGGCAGCGCTAGTTATGTTTAAATAAAATCCACATATGGTCGCTTGAAAATGGTTTTAAGTTTTCTAAATCTAAACCAAACTGTATTCATTTCTGTAGAAAGTATAAGCCACATGAGGACCCCGATTTAGTTTCGGATGGAACTCCTATCAAAATAGTCAAAGGAGTCAAGTTCCTTGGTATTATTTTTTAACATCTCTTGACCTTTCTACCACACTTTAATTACTTAAAAAATAAATGCCTGAAGGCTCTTGATCTGTTCAAAATCGTTTAGAATTCAAAGTAGGGAGGGCATAAGGAAACCCTCCTCCAACGGTACAGAGCGCTCATCCGGTCTAAACTGGATTATGGCTACATCATGGTTGAGCTTGTAAAAACAAAAAAAATTAAACTAGATTCTGTTCATCATCAGGGCCTTAGGCTTTGCCTTGGAGCCTCTGATGCAAAGTCTGTTTGTGGAGGCTGATGAGCCGTCCCTTAAACAACGTCGCTTTAAATTATTATCACAGTACATTTCTAAATTATATATTTCTAAATCCAATCGTGCGTATGAATAAAAAAACGTCTCTTATTCCACTTTTGCAATAAGAATACAATCTCATATTTCTTCTGATAAAATACATCTTGATAATATAGCCCTCACTCAGTTTTTGACTTCTCCAGTAAAACCAGAGGTAAATCTAACCTTTAACTAAATTAAAGAAATCTGAAACAAATCAACCCATTTATCAACAAGAATATCATCAATTAAGACACACATATGATACTTAGAAATCTATATTTACTGATGGATCCAAGGATGGTGACGCAGTTGCCAGCGCCACCATCATTGGATCAAGGACTATATCATCACGATTACCAGATAACTGCTCCACTTTTACGGCATTATGAAAGGAAAAACAATTTATTATACGAGGGGTGTTCATTAAAGATTTCCCCTAAACCACTTAGGGTTATCATATTTGGTTGAAATGTTTACTTTACTTTTACAGGTGTTATGATCGAGTAGGGTGTGACAATGGAGCCAGCAGAATACCGAGCAGTGATTAGGTTTTTATATTTGAAAGGTCGCACACCACAAGAAACTTTCGATGAAATGAAAGCAACTTATGGGGAAGATGCCCCATCATATGACGTTGTTAAACACTGGCATCGCCAGTTCAAGAGTGGTCAGACATCTGTGGAAACAGCTGCCATTCCTGGTCGCCCCCATTCAGCCATTGATGAGGACACTATCCATCAAGTGGAGACCGTCATTTTGGCAGACCGACGTATAACTGTTGGCCAGTTAGCACAAGATGTCAAGATCAGTGTAGGGTCTGTGGAAGAAATCATCCATGACAATTTGAACATGCATAAGGTGTCTGCACGATGGATTCCCAGGTCGCTCACACCTTTCCAAAAGCAGGAACGAGTCAATTGCTCAAAGGATCTTTTGGACATGTGCCAAAAAAACCAGGCAAACTTTTTGGACAGACTTTCACACAGGATGAAACATGGGTCCATCACTATGATCCTGAGACTAAAGTTCAGTCGATGAAATGGAAGCATGTGGAGTCACCACCCCCAAAGAAGGCACATGTCCAACCCTCTGCAGGCAAGATCATGCTCACGGTGTTATGGGACCAGCACGGAGTAGTGATGATGGATTTCTTGGCAAAGGGTACCACAATTACAGGGGCTTATTATGCTTCACTGCTGCGGGAATTGCGGGACGCTATCAAGTTTAAGTGGCGTGGCATGCTGACCAAGGGTGTCCGTCTCCTGCAAGACAATGCTCCAGTACACAACTCTCATGTTGCCCAAACATAAGCGCGGTCCTGTGGCTGTGAAATTCTTCCACATCCTCCTTACTCTCCTGACCTTGCACCATCTGACTTCCACCTCTTTCCAACCATGAAGTCATTTTTGAAGGGAAAACGTTTCACAGATGATAAAACACTGATTTCTGAAGTCAAGTCCTGGTTTGAGACGCAAAATGAGGGCTTTTACAAGCGAGGTCTCCATAGTTGCATAAAACGATGGGATAAGTGTGTAACTCTTGGTGGTTCCTATGTGGAGAAAGACTAATACCTATGCCAAGTTTCATTCCACTAGGTCCATCGGAAGTGGGTCAGGGGAATTATTTAATGAACACCCCTCGTATTTCAGACTCTCTAACCTGTATTCTGGGAATTAAAAATCAATCTTGCAAACATCAACTTTTAACTGAATTTATTGAATTATATAATGATCTTGCTACTGGCCAATACATCGTCTTTTGTTAATTACCAAGCCATGTTGCAGTGGCTGATGCTGATGCTAAAGCAGAGGTCAACAAATCCGTGACGTTACTTATTACATCGAATTAAACCAACTATCGGTTACACCTACTTGGGTTGTCAGATTTGAAGAGGTCGTAATGCGGCGATGTCGCATATATTGGCCATAGCCGATATACTCATGAATATTTATTGAAAGGTGAGGATCCTTCATTTTGTATCGCTTGTGATGAGAGAATCACGGTCAAGCATGTCCTGCTTGACTGTGTTGATTTTGCCATCACAAGGGATACATATTTCAAATCTTCATCTGTCAATCTTTTTGATAGAATTAGTTCTCATTTAATGATTGCTCTTTGAAGGAAATAGAATTGTTTGATAAAAAAATTGATAAATATGTCAGGGAAAATAAATATAAGTTATTTCAAATTTGGTTGATTAAATTAGCAACTGATATTGTTAGTGTCTGTCTCCTTGAAGGGGGTTAAAGTACTGTAAAGTTATTATCCCCCAGAGAACATATGTAAGTTCCACATCATTCAAAGTAAATTTAGGGCTGTCATGGTTTTATTCTTGTATACTTGTTAGTTTAAATTGATGGCTGAAATGATGGCATACAATCGCCAGCTGCTGAAGGGATGGTGTAGTTTGTGTGTTATTCCCTATGCATACAGGGAGTATACAGTATAGATTCCCTGGGGCAGTAATCCTGCCTAGCTTGTGTGTTATTCACTAAATATAAAGTGAACATACATAGGATTCCCCGGGAGAGTATCATTCCTAGATTGTGTGTTATTCTCTAAATATACAGGGAGCATACAGTATAGATTCCCTGGGGCAGTAATCCTGCCTAGCTTGTGTGTTATTCTCTAAGTATACAGGGAACATACAGTATAGATTCCCTGGGGCAGTAATCCTTCCTAGATTGTGTGTTATTCTCTAAATATACAGGGAGCACACAGTATGGATTCCCTGAGGCAGCAATCCTACCTAGATTGGGAGTTATTCTCTAAGTATACAGGGAACATACAGTATAGATTCCCTTGGGCAGTAATCCTTCCTAGCGTGTGTGTTATTCTCTAAGTATCCAAGGAGCATACAGTATAGATTCCCCGGGAGAGTAATCCTTCCTAGCTTATGTGTTATTCTCTAAGTATACAGGGAGCATACAGTATAGATTTCCTGGGGCAGTAATCCTTCCTAGCTTGTGTGTTATTCTCTAAGTATACAGGGAGCATACAGAATGGATTCCCTTAGGCAGTAATCCTTCCTAGCTTGTGTGTTATTCTCTAAATATACAGGTAACATACATATGATTCCCTGAAACAGTAATTCTTCCTAGATTGTGTGTTATTCTCTAACTATACAGGGAACATACAGTATAGATTCCCTGGGGCAGTAATCCTTCCTAGCTTGTGTGTTATTCTCTAAATATACAAGGAACATACAGTATAGATTCCCTGAGGCAGTAATCCTTCCTAGATTGTGTGTTATTCTCTAAGTATACAGGGAACATACAGTATAGATTCCCTTAGGCAGTAATACTTCCTAGATTGTGTGTTATTCTCTAAATTTACAGGGAACATACAGTATGGATTCCCTGGTATACAGTAAAAGCTTGCCTGGAACTCCATCATTCGAATTTTAACGATCTCGGCAGATTTTGGTAGATTTTGGATGTAATATCGACACTTTGCCCGCCTCGAAGGATCCAGGACTTCGAGTTAACGTGGTTCCACTGCATGTTACACTTGGTATGGTATGTTAGTGGGCTTGTGCTATGATACCGGCATTCGTCCGGGCTATTATAAAACACACACAAACACACGCACGCACGCACACACACACACAAAAATAGAAGACACACACATACAGACACACAGAGACACGCACTTACACATGCACGCATAGAAACACACACACACACACACACACACACACACACACACACACACACACACACACACACACACACACACACACACACACACACACACACAAACACACACACAAACACACACACACACACATACAAACAAACAAACACACAAACACACACACATGCAACGTCAAACCCCATTTCACCAACCTCAATCCGTCAGGTGACCCGACAATGTAGATCTAATACACATCAGTGACCCACATCAACTCTCGTGCTCTGCGATCGTCGCTCTCAAGGGGACGGCATTATGCACGTACGATTAATGTTATTGTCAGAACAGAAAGGTGGCCACACTCCCCACCCGCATAACCATACCCATAGTTCCACAGCATACCGACCCGTCTACCCTTTCTAAGCCCACCTATACGACTATTTTGTGAGACAGATTCTTTGCACTATTAAACTATCTGTATTTAATGTCACCATTCAGCGAAACCATATTGTCGGTGTTAACGTTGCTTACGTTTGGGATTAAAGGCCCTATACACAATGTCATTGATCGAGCTATTGGCTGTTGAAAGAGCCGTGTTGGTATTGTGCAGTTATTCTTCTGTCAGTATTAGGGCCAGTCTACAGACTTTATAACTACAACTAGGGCTCGTCCACTGTACTGACATCAGGCTATACATGTACTGTGGCAGGTTCTGTAGATTGTCAGGGAGTGTTGCCACCTATAACTGGGTTAACTTCAACTGAATTATCACCAAGCGGTCAGCTGGCGATGACCCTGTGACATCCTTCAGAGTCGGGCGGAGCTTGAGCAGATTACAGAGACCCCGGGGGAAAGGGGTGCGGACACACGACCCACCAGACGCCATCAGGTACCACAATTTTAACATCAACACGATACACATATTTCTGTTGAATTTCTGTATGTATTTGAACATGAACATTCACTCTGTTGAAATAGCATGTTGTTTAAGTCGTGTGAAATATCACTTTATTTAGAAAATACATTCAGTAGTGAGTGAGTGAGTGAGTATGGTTTTACGTCCTTTTCAGCAATATTCCAGCAGTATCACGGCGGTGGACACATTGTAACCATGTCGGGAATCGAACCCGGGTCTTCGACGTGACGAGCGAACGCTTTAACCTTTAGGCTACCCGACCGTCCCTCAAACCAGAATAAGGCAGAGGATAAAAAAAATCAAACATTTTTGCTTTTCTAGTCAAATAACTTGTGACTAAATATAAAATATTAACCGCCAACGCCAGAGAATAACCATCTACATAAAAATATATTTTCACTACAAAAATATCGATTTTATATCCTACATATGCAATGCTATCTTTAATAATATTCTGTTTCCTTTTATAGCAATACTGACATATTTTTATCTATTCAGAAGTACTCTAATATTAAACTGAATACATGATAAATTATCAGCACACCATGTATATGCCTAATGCGCATTGCATGAGATACTCGGCGAACGTGACTATGACGTATTATGTGTTGCGCATGCTGCGTTATGTTGAAAACATCGATCAATACCTCGTGTTTCTCAAATGTACACCATAAAAGGTTTATCACGTTTTCAATACAAAAAGTGCGATACTCGATCAATGGATGCCTGTGCGAGTTATGTTATTGCATTCCATTTCATATATATTGGTAAACACATACAAGTTATATCACGGAACGTATGTGCTTATATAGAAGGGTTGTCATGCATACGGGTATTATCCCCCACATCGTGGGTTGTGTTTGACACTGCTCGTAACAGCACTTTAATTTAATCCTGATGTCACTGATAACTATGGAAGGAAAGTACAAATTGTTGCAGATGGAAACTTACCTCTTTTCTGAAATCCACGACCAAAGATAAGGAGAACAAGGGTCATGAATCCGATCACCGGACCATGGTTGTGCAGAGTTGTGTCCCTTACTTGACAGGATCAGCAGATCGTTGGTTCAAATATGACTTTGGTCGGCAGCGTATCCATGCTCGTGGGAAGCACGAGAATTCAGACTTTCCTTCTACATTTAGCTGACATGTCGTGACGAAATCAAATACTGATCGAATCAGTGCTCAACCACCCATATCAAAGGGTTGTCAAATATATCAAGTATGGAGGCCCCTGTGTCGCCACAGTCAGTCAGACTGCTGGAGACACAGGACCTACCAACTTCACCACGAAGCAGAGACTGAATGACTGATGGAAACACAGGACCTACCTACTGCACCACGAAGCAGTGACTGTCTGACTGATGGAGACAAAGGACCTACCTACTGCACAACGAAGCAGAGACTGACTGACTGCTGGAGACACAGGACCTACCTACTGCACCGAGAAGCAGTGACTGACTGACTGACTGATGGAGACACAGGAACTACCTATTTCACAACGACCACGAGGCAGAGACTGACTGACTGCTGGAGACACAGAACCTACCTACTGCACCACGAAGCAGTGACTGACTGACTGACTGATGGAGACACAGGAACTACCTATTGCACAACGACCACGAGGCAGAGACTGACTGACTGCTGGAAACACGGGACCTACCTACTGCACCACGAAGCAGAGACTGACTGACTGCTGGAGACACAGGACCTACCTACTGCACCACGAAGCAGAGACTGACTGACTGCTGGAGACACGGGACCTACCTACTGCACCACGAAGCAGAGACTGACTGACTGCTGAAGACACAGGACCTACCTACTGCACCACGAAGCGGAGACTGACTGACTGCTGAAGACACAGGACCTACCTACTGCACCACGAAGCAGAGACTGACTGACTACTGGAGACACGGGACCTACCTACTGCACCACGAAGCAGAGACTGACTGACTACTGGAAACACGGGACCTACCTACTGCACCACGAAGCAGAGACTGACTGACTGCTGGAGACACAGGACCTACCTACTGCACCACGAAGCAGAGACTGACTGACTGCTGGAGACACAGGACCTACCTACTGCACCACGAAGCAGAGACTGACTGACTACTGGAGACACGGGACCTACCTACTGCACCACGAAGCAGAGACTGACTGACTGCTGGAGACACAGGACCTACCTACTGCACCACGAGGCAGAGACTGACTGACTGCTGGAGACACAGGACCTACCTAATGCACCACGAAGCAGAGACTGACTGACTGCTGGAGACACAGGACCTACCTAATGCACCACGAGGCAGAGACTGACTGACTGCTGGAGACACAGGACCTACCTACTGCACCACGAAGCAGAGACTGACTGCACCACTATTGAAGGCGGTGTAACACACAAGTGATCTTACACGCTAATAAAGGTTTTGTTATACACAAAAGTTCCTACTCACTAATGAAGGTGGTGTTTTACACAAGTGTTCTTACACACTAATGAAGTTAGTGTTACACACTTAGTGCCAACAGCCACATATACCCTCTGTGGTAAGGAAAATACAGCGGAAATGAAATCGGACCCATTTTTTAAGAAGCTCGACTTTTGCTATATTTAGAACTGTACTCTGTACTCTGGATATACAGATGTATTGATATATATATATATATATATTGTAATTGTAATTGTATTGAAGAACGTGGTGATAACCTGGTGTCATCATCACTGACGTTCAGTAATCCATTCATAAACTTTTCAGCGCTATTTGGCTATCTGTTTCGTCGGATAATCGAGACTGGCTTTTGCAGATTAAAATCAAGCGGATAGATCTGATTTATATCAAATGTATCAGAATACATTTAAATGAGGGTAAAAACACAATGTTCCTTTCAACTTGAAACTTGCCGAGTACTGTGTCTTTGAACGTGGATTCAATAATTGATCATTTGGGACGTCGTTAAGATAAGGAGTGTTTTCCAAGAAAACAAATCTATACCTGTTCAAAGAAACCGTCTTCAGCAGTATATTCCGCAGGGTATATACCCTCTAAATCCACAGTAAGATGTTCATCAAACATAACACAATGACCGATGATGAGAGGGAACAAGTCATCTCTTCAAGACAATTCCTCCTAGATTGATGCACATGTTTCAGATAATCTTGATTTTACATTCAACAGTATCGTAATGATGAAAAGGAAACTATCTATTCTTTGAAGTAAGGTGTGTTAATGTTTGTGATCCGTTTTGATCGTCACTTTCAACAAGTAGAGGAAGTCGGGGGCCTATCCATACCCAGAATACCTAAGGGGTTACTCCAGTTTCAAACATCTACCCCCGACGTGTGAGGCTGCTGTATGGGTTACCGCTCCACGAGGCCTTCAACTGTAGAGCTTTCAGACATTGGGCGACATGTTTTTTCATTCTTTCTAAAATAAGTAGGGTTTTATAAACGACAAAATGTTGTCTGTTGATTTTACTTCATACTGCATCACATGATTGCATCGGTAACTGTTTCTGCATGTATGTCTCGGAGATTTAACACTACTTCACAATAAACGATTTGGTATCACATCAATATCCTTTTTGTTACGGTGCGCACATTTCGGGTTCCTGAAACTCTAAGAAATCTGAAGCGTTTGAAACCGAAAGGATGATTAAATTAAGTATAAGCAATAACGACGCTGAAAGTAATTAAGTTTTCTCATTACATCCGATGTAATGCCTGGCGGCTACTGTTCTGCGACCGGTATTGATATTTCAAAATATAATTTTCTTCTGACTGCATTCTCTTTTTCTGTTTCTGATAGTATTAATATTCACTACATATACTCAACAACACTCCAAACAGTTCACTGCTACACCAAGCACGTCGTCAAACATTTAGTTTAGTTTAAACATATTCTATTCACAAATGGAAAACAATAAGGAATAAGTTATCCAACTGAGGACAGCCTCTCCTTGGTATTTAAATGAATTATGGACAAATTGCAAACGAGGACGAGGGAAGACAAGTACAATAAGGAATTATTTCTAAACGAGAATAGAACAGCTTCGGTGTTGTCTGGATTGTACTTAACCTACCACTGTTTACCCCAATCACTTAATTTATTTCTTGTTTTCAACATGTAAATCTAACAACAAATTATCAAGATTGGCATAAAAGTTCTTTTGCATAATACTTCATATCATTAACCTTAATCCGTTGTTTCTTAAACGTTGTAATATCGGATACGTGTTAGTCCTGTTTGCCTTTTTACGTAATCTGTCTCTTTTCTTGTATTCTTTCCATTAATTTGAATCAAACCAAGGTTTATCATTAGGTCTAATAGTGACTTTCTCAGATGGGATACAAAGTTTATGTCCATGAAGTTGTTCATAAATAGTTGTACAAGCTTGATTGACATCTTGACAATTATTGAATGGTTCGGCCCATTTTGTTTAATTAATACGCGCATTCAAAGATTGGTAGTCGCCTTCATTATTGCAAAATGTCTCTGGTATGTTCATTTTTTGTATTTAAAGACGAATTTATAGTCTCATAAGTACCCTTGTGATCGTTTATTTTGCTCTCAAATTCTGATACACCACATCCTTGCTGATTAGTATGGGGTCTAGCAGCGTACTGGAATATTGTGTATACCCTTGTTAGTTCACTTATCATATTTCTTACATTCTCACTTAGCAGTGCATCCTTTAGATGATTACTTGTACTCGCACTTGATAACAGGTCTGCATTTAAATCTCCAACACCAGTAATTTTGTGTGTAGTATACAGAGTATTTTACTAGTATTAAGTCTATTCCAGAGTATAACGTTGTTATACTCGGGTCTGTACGCTTGGAATAACATATATATGAGGTTTTATAGGAAGGTGTATCATAATCCAAATTGTTTCGTCATAGATATTCTCGAGATCCTGCATTCGTTTAAAAGCAAAGTTTTGCTTGATATATAACATTACTCCCTCGCCGAAAGAACTTCTATCTTAACGTATTGGATCATTAAAATTTGCCCTCTTTGAAGAAGCGTTATCAAACGATTTGTCAAGATGGGTTTCAGTGAAACAAACACCCTGATTTTCTGATAGGTATTCACTAAGATATTCTAGCTTATTTCTTATGCTTCTCGTATTCAGGTGAAAACATAATTAGTGATTTCTCGTGACAATCGTTCTGAGAAGGGTGAGGATACGACTCCATGTCTCCAGCAAGCTGGAGTACCACTATAGTGAGTGAGTTGGGTTAAACGCCGCTTTTAACAGTATTCCATTCATATCACGGCGTGTCAGCTTAGTGTGGGAGGAAAGCCCGAAGTGATGCAGGTCTCAGACGTTTACCACTTCGGTGAAACCGATGAGCACGGGTATGGTGCTGACAAACCTAGAAACATAATCGGGGCGAACTGGGATTCGAACCCTCAATCATAGGTTTCTGGCGTGCCTAAGGGACGCAACTCTGCACGGCGAATCGCGGCGCCTTAGGCGACTGGGCCACCCGTGCCCCCGAGGAACACTATAACTAGGATGATGTCGTTTGTTTTTCTGAATTGCGACTGTAACACACAAAGACATGCTGAAACAATGCTAGTCTTGCACGATACCGATAAATGTACACGTCTTAATAGTACGCATGGACATACAACATTTTACGCAATGATAAGCCCTGATCGCCACACGATATTGAATGACATTATTACCCATTTTCTAGAGACAAGCTTGACAGTAAGTTAAGAGAGTGAGTAAGTGAGTTTGGTTTTACGCCGCTTTTATCAATATTCCAGCAATATCACGGCGGGGGACACCACAAATGGGCTTCACACATTTTACTCATGTCGGGAATCGAACCCGGGTCTTCGGCGTGACGAGCGAACGCTTTAACCACTAGGCTACCCGACCGCCCCGTAAGTTAAGAGAAGTGAGACAAGAAGATCGTGAGATTCTATGTCGTTCAATACAGTTTGATGTAAAGTCAAACAGTTCACTGCATCAGGGATGATGATACAACGCTCACGTGTGCGTGATCAGGGGCTGGTGATGCGTCAAATTATTACAAAGAAGCCTTGTTATCTCTTTTCCACACTCCATAACAAACCATACATCTATCATATCAATATTTCTTTCTATTCAAGTCACTCTACTGTTCTGTTTCAGACCCATAGATGCGACTCCGGAGCCGTGTCGTGTCAATAACAACACTAAAAGCTCGAACCTGTTGCTACTGCGCCGCAGCAAATACATCTTGACTGACGTCCGCAGTGGTCGAGGATACCCATCGACTACGACAGATGCGTTGCTGGTGTGAAGACAGTGTCCTTCGGTGGTTTATGGAAGTGTGAGTCATAGGTGGATGACAGACTTTGTCATCGTGTGTCATCATCACTTGTGTCATCATCTTCAGAACCGAGAGCTTCTGTTCCGTGGATCCCTTGACTTACAGCATCACAGTGATTGTTCCACAACCCAAGACAAATACAGGAACCACACCGGCATCTAAATGGTTGAGGAAGCTACATATATCTACATCCCGTTTCATTGAAACGCTCAAATCTGCCCAAAATTGTCAACAAAACTCACAGGCCACCACACACATCTTAACGTCATATACTACAGAAATCTATTGGCGTTCATGAAACCAGATCATCTCTGTATCTTAACATCTGATGACCAGAAGTCCATAGCTGTAGCTGAAGCACAGACCGTCAAACAGGACAACCCACAGAGCATCCAACAGACCAGCCCACAGAACATCCAGCAGAACATCTCACAGAGCATCCAACAGACCAGCCCACAGAGCATCCAACAGACCAGCCCACAGAGCATCCAACAGACCAGCCCACAGAGCATCCAACAGACCAGCCCACAGAGCATCCAACAGACCAGCCCACAGAGCATCCAACAGACCATCCCACAGAACATCCAGCAGAACATCTCACAGAGCATCCAACAGACCAGCCCACAGAACATCCAGCAGAACATCTCACAGAGTTCGACCAACAGTTTGAGATGGAGTCGAGTTGGATGACTGCGTCTGTGAAGAACATCCAGCGACAGAGGCAGCTGGAGCTGGAGCTGATTGACATAGAGCGGCGCTGGCATATTGAGCTGAAGGATATCACGCGCCAGCGCCTCGGGGTCATCTACGACCTCAACAGATACAAGAAACTACGTCGTGCCGCCGACTACACCAGCGACGACCTTAGCGGACAGGAGCTCCGGAAATACACAAGGGTGTGCCAGCACAAGATGATAGAACAGAGAACGAGTCGGCGCCGGGCTCGCAAATTTGATTTCTCTGGAGACCGTGTTGAACGCATGAACATTCAACTACCCCCTATTAATGTAGAGACTTGCCCTGAAAAGCAGGCCGCCATGGAGTCTGTGACGTACAGCGACCTGAACAGACAGAGGGCAAGCTTTCAGAAAGGAGCCAGCGATCTTAATCAATACCTTATGCGTATTGTCCGGAGGAAGAATCGCCATAAGTCTGAAGATGCAGATGACGATGAAGAGGATGACGGAACGGATGACGACCTTGAGAGTTCCCATTCACCCTCGCCAATCAGTCGACAGAACAGCCTGTCGGTAGACTCCACATTACAAGGGAGGAGAAGCGTCACCCCCCACCTCCTCCCTCCCATCATGGAGACCCCATGCCATACGGGTATACGTTAGATACTGTGTAGCATGGAATTTACTGGAAGCGTTACCCTGTTCACAGATACAATTGCGATTTCACAATTGCGATGATCACAATGCCTTTACCTCGACTGTGGAGCATAATGCCCTTTAAGTGATATAACGGGTTGATGTGAATTAACCTCATAATACACCTTGGACAGAGTAACAGCATCGTCACACAGAGATATTGAGCCCTAAGCCTAATACCTCGGTACCTGTGACGGTCTTACGTCAACTCTTCATGTGGCGCCACCTTGCTAATGACGTACTTGGTGCCCCACACTGTGATAGCAGCGTCTGCAGCTGTACCTTGACTCTGTGAGTGTTAGATGGATGGATTATTAAGGATTACTGCACGACGGATGAGAGACAGATAAGACAGACAGGGAGAGTGAGCGCGCACACTGATGTACACGCATGCACGCATGCACGCACGCACACACATACACACACGCATGTAAACACACGCATAGGCATACACACGCACGCACGCACGCACGCACACATACACACACGCATGTACACAAACGCATAGGCATACGCACGCACGCACGCACGCACGCACACATACACACTCGCATAGGCATACACACGCACGCACGCACGCACACATACACACTCGCATAGGCATACACACGCGCGCGCACAGGCACACACACACGCACACACGCACAGGCACAAACAATCCCATATCTATCCCACATCCCAAAGTAAAATTTATAGACACAGATAGACACTAAATTTGGAGCAAAGTTTGCCCCATCGAGAGGTGGGAGTGGTTATATAATGCAAATTGTTACATATGTTAACGTTCTTTATTTATCAAACCAAAGGCCAACATATGCCATATCAAATGCATTTCAATTTTTTGTAAAGAAAAGCCTCTTGGTGTGATGTGAAATTGTGTAAAAATGTGTCAATGTGTTAAATGTGACACAGTGTAAACCATGACCTGTAAAACATATATGTCATGTGACCCAATGTAACACTTGACCTCTGTATAAAGGACATTTCCTTTATGTGTAATATTATACAGAATAAACAGGACATGTGTATTGAAATTTGCAAAGTGTGAAACCTTAAATCTTTTTTTCTAATTTGGCAGACCTCAAAAGGTGTTTATGCAGTGTAGCACAATGTAAGTCATAACCTTCGTGTGTAACGTGAAACAGTGTGTAACATAACCTTTGTGTGTAACGTTAAACAGTGTGTAACATAACCTTTGTGTGTAACGTGAAACAGTGTGTAACATAACCTTCGTGTGTAACGTGAAACCGTGTCAAACATAACCTTCGTGTGTAACGTGAAACAGTGTTGAACGTTACCTTTGTGTGTAACGTAAAACAGTGTTAAACATAACCTTCGTGTGCAACGTGAAACAGTGTTAAACATAACCTTCGTGTGTAACGTGAAAAGTGTTAAACATAACCTTTGTGTGTAACGTGAAACAGTGTTAAACATAACCTTCGTGTGTAACGTGAAACAGTGTGTAACATAACCTTCGTGTGTAACGTGAAACAGTGTTAAACATAACCTTCGTGTGTAACGTGAAACAGTGTTAAACATAACCTTCGTGTGTAACGTAAAACAGTGTTAAACAGAACCTTCGTGTGTAACGTGAAACAGTGTTAAACATAACCTTCGTGTGTAACGTGAAACCGTGTGTAATATTACCTTTGTGTGTAACGTAAAACAGTGTTAAACATAACCTTTGTGTGTAACGTAAAACAGTGTTAAACATAACCATTGTGTGTAACGTAAAACAGTGTTAAACATAACCTTCGTGTGTAACGTGAAACCGTGTGTAATATAACCTTTCCGTGTAACGTAAAACAGCGTTAAACATAACCTTAGTGTGTAACGTAAAACAGTGTTAAACATAACCTTCGTGTGTAACGGGAAACAGTGTGTAACATAACCGTCGTGTGTAACTTGAAACAGTGTTAAACATAACCTGCGTGTGTAACGTGAAACCGTGTGTAACATAACCTTCGCGTGTAACGGGAAACAGTGTGTAATATTACCTTTGCGTGTAACATGAAACCGTGTGTAATATAACCTTTGCGTGTAACGTAAAACAGCGTTAAACATAACCTTAGTGTGTAACGTAAAACAGTGTTAAACATAACCTTCGTGGGTAACGGGAAACAGTGTTAAACGTAACCTTTTTGTGTAACGTGAAACATAACCTTCGTGTGTAACGTATTATTAACAGTGTTAAACATAACCTTTGGTTGAAACGTGAAACAGTGTTAAACATAACGTTTGTGTGCAACGTGAAACAGTGTTAAACATTACCATTATGGTAACGTGAAACAGTGTTAAACATTACCATTTTGTGCAATGTGAAACAGTGTTTAACAATACCATTATGTGCAATGTGAAACAGAGTTAAACATAACCTTTTGTGTAAATAACCTCGGCGTGAAATGTAACACAGTGTTAAACACTATCTTTGTGTAAAAAGTTGTCACATACACTATAATGTGGCACAGTGTAAAATACCACATGTAAGCGCAAAGTGCCACACTGTTAAAATTATCTCTCTGTGCAAAATGTGTATTGTGACACAGTGTTGACACTTCATCTGTGTGTAAAATGACACGCTGCAAACACGACCTCTGTTTATGTTGTGACACAGTGCAAACACGACCTCTGTGTGTATTGTGACACAGTGCAAACACGATGTATGTATGTATTATGACACAATGAAAACACGACCTCTGTGTGTATTGTGACACAGTGCAAACACGACCTCTGTGTGTATTGTGACACAGTACAAACACGACGTGTGTGTATTATGACACAATGCAAACACGACCTCTGAGTGTATTGTGAAACCGTGAAAACACGATCTGTGTGTGTATTGTGACACAGTGCAAACACTACCTATGTGTGTATTGCGACACAGTGCAAACACGACCTGTGTGTGTATTGTGACGCAGTCGAACACGAACTCTGTTTATATTGTGACACAGTGCAAACACGACCCCTATGTGTATTATGACACAGTGTAAACACGACCTCTGAGTGTATTGTGAAACCGTGAAAACACGACCTGTGTGCGTATTGTGACACAGTGCAAACACGACCTGTGTGTGTATGGTGGCAGTGCAAACACGACCCCTGTGTGTATTGGGACACAGTGCAAAACACGACTGACGCAGTGCAAACACGAAGTGTGTGTGTGTGTGTGTATTGTGACACAGTGCAAACACGACCCCTGTGTGTATTGTGACACAGTGCAAAACACGACCTCAGTGTGTATTGTGCCTAACACGACCTGTGTGTGTATGGTGACAGTGCAAACACAACCTCTGCGTGTATTGTGACCTCTGTGTGCACTGTAGCACAGTGTAAAGTAATTGCCCTGAGGATGTAAGCATAATCCACCACGTGGAATCACACCAATCATCAAGAATGTGACAGTCTTAGATACGCCATAGAGGAACATTTGACAGCATCAGTGAAGCTGACGATTAATGTGGCTCCAGTGAAGGGGGGCCGGGAGGTGTGGGGGATTTAACTGTGGTTATTTTAACGGCTAATTTAGCATCACAACCGATCGATATTGTTCAATGTAACTACTGATTGGCCCCACGGCACCTAGAGCCCTGACTCTCACATGACTCAAAGGTGGGGGTACATGCTGAGGAATCAGCACATCCAATGATATAAAGGAATTCATCACACTGACTTCACTGATGCGTGAACATGTATCACGCATTGACAATGGCTATGAGCAGACTCGGCCATGCAAAATGAAATATTTAATTTAATTTAACTCCAATATCTAGAAGAATCGAAAGTTGTAAGAAGTGTGTTTGAACTCATCGACGACATTGCTCTGAGAGGGTAACGAGAACTCCCATGTACAGGAGAAAACATCTCATTCATACATAACACATTCACGAAGCTGTATTACTTCTTGTCATATTTGTTCATAACATAGAAGGGGGGCACGGGTGGCCCAGTCGTCTCAGGCGCCGCGATTCGCTGTGGAGAGTTGCATCCCTTGGGCACGCCAGAAACCTATGATTGTGGGTTCGAATCCCGGTTCGCCCGGAATATGTTTCTAGGTTTGTCAGCACCATACCCGTGCTCGTGGGTTTCACCGAAGTGGTAAACGTCTGAGACCTGCATCACTTCGGGCTTTCCTCCCACATTAAGCTGACACGCCGCGATATAACTGGAATACTGTTAAAAGCGGCGTTAAACCCAACTCACTCACTCACTCACTCATAACATAGAACGTGCAGGAAATATGGAAACACAAGCAATTCTGGTTTAATTCTGATAAGATTTTACCTTTATACCACCTCTTCGTCTGTTATGGCATCTAATGTCCCTCACTCACTCAGTTATAATCAAATAATGTCTCTTGTAGCACTGTGCACTTTCATCTGTTAATATAAACCGTTCTGTAATAGTATTTTAGATTTGGTAATGGCGACGATTTTCTCTCGCATACTCCCCAGGCAATGTTAGCGTTACTGTAATTGACTTAAACGCTAGATGACGTTGTGTTGTTAGCACTCTCAGGAATATCGCTCAAAGACCAACTCCTCCGGACATCGGTACCACAGCGTCTCTATGGTGTGGTCTGAGATGTTCAAAAGACTCATATATATGAACTTTCGGGAGACGATTCCGGTTTCACGCCATAATCACCAATTGAACAACTTTGTCAGCAATATTACGGTAAAATCACCGGAACTTCTTCAGCAATATCATCGCTATAACCCTAGCCTATTTGGCAACCTTATAGTTATAACTGCAGCCCTGTAAATTTATTGGTTATATCACGGATGTCGTATAAACCATGTTAACACTATATTAATGTAGCGTCTGGGAGTCTTTATGGGCATTTAAAGTTGGATATAAATATCATCACCGACTTAGGGGTAAGAAGTAGTCCTGTAACGTTGTGTACGTATAAAAAAGAATTTGTTATCCATAACATTACAGGTATACATTACAGTTTAGTAACGTTACACATTGTAGCTTTGGCAGCAGTATTACAGATACGAGGGTTGATTGATAAGTTCTGAACCTCACATAGATGGAATTGCCTAACAGTGTAATATTTGGTTGTTGTGGTAATTACATGATGTCATAGATGTATATCCACAAAATTGAGTCAGTTCAGAACATTATTTCGCTGTGACAATTCAGTAAAAAAGCAGGTGTCTGTGACCTTTGGAAAATGGACAAACTTTAGGAACGTGGGGTCAACGAAGATACAACACCAGGGAGGGATGTCCTTTATTTTTCACTGTAAAGGGTGGAAGTCGAACACGTCAAATGGTCCATATTTGTGTGTGACTTGTATATTCGCATCATAATATTTGCAACAGTAGGTACAATGGATCTAAATTTATTATTTTATGTACAGTTTACTCTTATTTTAATTGTAAAATGTCCTTTGTAGGGAGGGG